CCCCCCCCCCCAGGCCTTCACCACAGTATTGTCTCTGTCCTTGGGTTCTGTATATATGCATATAAGTTCTTTGATTAATCTCTCCCCATGCACTCCCCCATTCCCACCTTCCCACTGAAATTCATCAGTCTGTTCCATGCTTCTGTGTCTCTGGATCTACTTTATTCCTCAGTCTGTTTTGTTTATTAGATTCTACATGTGAGTGAAACCATGTAAAACTGAATCAGGAAGAATCAGAAAACCTGAATAGCTAATAACAACTGATGAAATTGAAGCAGCAATAAAAAAACTCCCAGCAAATAAAAGCCCTGGTCCAGACAGCTTCACAAGGGAGCTTTCTAATTCTTTAAGTTGTAGGGTTAGATAGTTTACTAAAAATTTTTCTTGTTTTCTGAGGTAGGCCTGTAGTGCTGTAAACTTCTTTCTTAGGACTGTTTTCACTGTGTCCCATAGACTTTGGGTTGTTGTGTGTTTATTTTCATTTGTTTCCAGGAAGTTTTTTATTTCTTTCTTGATGTCTTTGGTAACCCATTCATTGTTTAATAACATGTTATTTAGCCTCCATGTGTTTGAATGTTTTTTAGTGTTTTTATTATGGTTGATTTCTTATTTCATGCCACTGTGGTCTGAGAAGATGCCTGGTATGATTTCAGTCTTCTTGAACTTGTAGAGACTTGTTTTATGTCCTAACATGTGGTCTGTCTTTGAGAATGACCCAGGTGCACTTGAGAAGAATGTATATTTTGCAGCTTTGGAGTAAAATGTTCTGTAAATATCAATTAAATCCGTCTGATCTAGTGTGTCATTTAGGTTCACTATGTCTGTGTTTACTTTTTGTCTGGAAGACCTATCCAATGAAGTCAGTGAGGCGTTAAAGTCCATGACTATGACTGTATTGCTGTTGATCTCTCCCTTAAAGTCCTTGAGGTTATTATTGATATATTATTGATTTACTGCCATTTTAATTCTTTATGCCTATGTTTCTCTCTCTGTTTCTTCTTATTACAGCAGTCCTTTAACATTTCTTGCAATGCTTCTATTTCTACTTCTAATTACAGCAGTCCCTTTAACATTTCCTGCAATGCTGGTTTGATGGTGATAAATTCCTTTAGCCTTTTTTTGTCCGGGACGCTCTTTATTTCACCATCTATTTTGAATGATAGCTTTGCTGGATAGAATAGTCTTGGTTTCAGATCCATGTTTTGCATTACCTTGAATACTTCATGCTGTTCCCTTCTGGCCTATAGAGTTTCTGATGAGAAGTCAGCTGTCAGCCTTATGGGAGCTCCTTTGTAGGTAACAGATTGCTTTTCTATTGCTGCCTTTAAAATTCTCTCTTTGTCTTGAATTCTTGACATTTTAATTATGATGTGTCTGGGTGTCGGCATCTTTGGATTCTTCTTGCTTGGGACTCTCTGTGCTTCCTGAACTTGTGTGACTTTTTTCTTCATCAGGTTAGGGAAGTTTTCTGCCATTATTTTTTCTAACAGGTTCTCTAACCCTTGCTTAATTTCAACATTTTCTGGCATACCTATGATGCGAATATTGTTACATTTCGTGCTGTCCCACAGCTCCCTTAGACTGTTCTGTTTTTTTCATTGTTTTATCTTTTTGGATCTCTGATTTTTTTCTACCCTGTCTTCTAATTTGCTGATCTGATCCTCAGCTTCCTCTAATCTGCTTTTTATTTCTTCCAATGTATTCTTTATTTCTGCTATGTCATTTTTCATTTCTGACTGGTCATTTTTCATAGTTTGCATATTTCTTTCATGCTGTTGACCATCCTTAAAATCAGTATTCAAAACTCTATTTCTGATAGATTGCTTATCTTCATTTCATTTAGCTTTTTTTTCTGGAGACTTCTCTTGTTCTTTCATTTGAGGTTTGCTTTTTTTTGTCTCCCCATTTTGGCAGCATATTTGGGTTTGTTTCCATGTATTAGGTAGGTATTTTTGGAAGGTCGCTGGTGCAGGCCAATGTCAGATGCTGCTTGTGACTGGCCTTGATTACCCTGTTTGAAGCTATCAACAATCCAAGGCTTGAGGTTCCCTCTCTTGGGGCTGGGTGTGTTTGGACAGGACCAAGATACACATCAAAGTCTGTTTTTGCAACGCCCAGGTCCAGAAGCAGATCAGGCAAAGACTCAAAGCACTCTGAGGTCTGCTTCTGACTACAGGCTGGTTAATCTGATTCTCTTAACGAGTTTCAGGCTGTAGAAACTTCACAGGGTGGGGTAGCTGATTGTTATCAGTCTCTTAATGGACCTCAGGCTGTAGAAACTTCTCTGGGTAGGGAGTTTTTCCAGCAGGGTGGGGCAGTTGCTTTGCCCTCTGGCAAAAGCTGCTTGGAAGATAAATGTCTGTGTCTGCAGTATGGGGGAATGACTCCTCACAGGAATCCAGTGGGGTGCCCTCTGAGTTCTATCTCCAGAGCCCACAACCCTAGATTCTCCTCACACAGCTCCATTCCACACTGCCCTCCCTCTGCTGGAGTCCAAGGTGAGTGGCTGCACATGAAACTTTGTGTGTTGGATCTTTAAGAAGGTGCTTGCATTTCCAGCCATTTATCTCTGGCAGAGAGAAACCCAGCTGCTTTTCACAGCCAGATGTTATTGGGCACCTTTCTCAGTTCTGGTGCTCTTGGCTGGGAAGCCCAGCCTGGGGTTTAGGCCCCAGAGTCCTCAGTGGGAACCCCCCAAAACTGAGATTTCCCTCCAGACCTTCAGCTGCTGCCTGTGGGAGCTGAGCCTGCCCTCTCATGTCCACACTTCCTACCAGTCTCTATACAGTGTCCACTTTAGGTCCTTGGTGATGAGGGTGCTCTCCAGCTCCTCTTCAGTTGCAGTTGATTACTCAGGATGGTTTTTCTATATTTTAGTTATAGTTCTAGTTTGGTCCTGGGAAAGTGTCAGTGTAGCTTCCACTCAGTCTGCTGCCATTTTTAATCCTCCTCTCTGCCATCTGTTGATTAAATTGATGTATTTAATTTCATGTAAGAGAAAATAAAGAAATGACTTCAAATGACTTCAAATATAACAGTTATTTTGAATAGTGCTATTCCCTGCCTGTGTTTTTATTGGCAAGAAGGAAGGTGTAAACAGGAGAAACTAGTTAAAATTTTAGCTTGTTTTGAATAATTTTCCAGTAGAAGCCAGGCTAAAATAAATTTTACTTTAGGTATTGAAAGAAAGAGCAGCAAGAAATTTTGAAGCTGTGTTATATATTGTAGTTAGTAAACTAATCTGCCTCGTAAATATTTAATCACTGGAAGCATAGCCAATACTGGCAAAGTCATTTCATCAAGCACCCATAGTGGGGTTGGCGTTTATTCCCAAAACTGATATTCCATTGCTTCTTCAATTAATCCCTACAAATCCCTTTGTGTATTTAATCAAATTTCTGTAGTATCAAATTGTATGTTCTATCCATATGCAGGATGCTAGGCTTATTGAATTTCTGTAAATAGAGCTAAGGTTCTCAACCAGACAAATTAAAAAAAAAGTTGCCATCTTTATGATTTTGGGCTGATGTAATCTTTTAAGGTATTAATATTCAGCCTTGTGTAATCTTTAAGTATTAATATTCAACCTAGTTAAAGAATAATTTATCATGCTGGCCTGTGTGGCTCAGTGGTTAGAGCATCAGCCTGTGCACTGCAGGGTCGTGGACTTGATTTCGTGTCGAGGGCATGTACCTGGGTTGCATGTTTGATCTCTGCCCCCAAGTTGGGGCTTGTGCAGGAGACAATCAAGTGATGTCTTTCCCTCAAAGCAATGTTTCTCTCTCTCTTTTCCACTCCCTCCTTCCCTCCTACTCGCTTTAAAAATCAATGGAAAAAATATTCTTGGTTGAGGATTAACAAAAACAATAAAAAAAGAATAATTTGTCTTGCAGCAAGTTAAAGCATTTCCAGAATTTCCTTAATGCACTGATATTTACTTTCTCAGTAAATTAAAAAAATGCTCAGAAGTTAAAATAATCTTGACTCCCTATAATCATGGCACAAATTATAGGAAAAGCATGTAAAAGACTTCTGTTCTCTAAACTGCAAATGAGGCAGGTCAATTTTTTATAGTGTACACATTGGCCAAAGTAGGAACAATAGTGGATTTAGTCAGCAGACCTGACCCAGTATTTCCCCATTCCTGTCACTATGACATTAAGGCCTGTCCTTTAGCTTCATATATTTTTATAAAGGTTACCTAAAAACATGGAATTGGTATAGAGGATCAGAGCCACGCAGACTTTGAACTCTGGCTCTCTCACTCAAGAGCTGGGAGAAGTTGGGCAAGGTTGTTAATGTCTTGGTTTTCTCATCAATAAAAAGGGAATAATATAAAAAGGGGATGATAGGTATTGGCTATCTTTTTATATTATTCTTTAAGAGTTGTTGCCCTAGCCGTTTCGGCTCAGTGGTTAGAGCGTCAGCCCACAGACTGAAGGGTCTTGGGTTCGATTCAGGTCAAGGGCACATACCTGGGCTTGATCCCCAGCCCAGTTGGGGTGTGTGCAGCAGACAACCAATTGATGTGTCTCTCTCACATCAGTGTCTCTCTCTCACATCAATGTCTCTCTCTCTCTCTCTCTCTCTCTCTCTTACTCTCTCTGAAAAACAATGGAAAAAAATATCCTCAGGTGAGGGGTAAAAAAAGAGCTGCTTATTATTCCTTTAATTGTATGAACCGTAGTGTGCTTATCTCATCTTTAAGGATGACTTTTTGGATCTATAAAGGCACTTTGAAAACCTGTGAAGTCCTGTATGTGTATAATTTAATGCTGCATAACAGAAATGTATTAATTTTTCTTGAATAATTTTGGGCTAAGAAGTGATGGAACAAAGTTCGATTAATGCAAAGGGTGACTTATTTTGACCTGTTAAATTTGTCTATGGAGAGGAAACTTTAAAATAAGCCCAGGCTACTCCTACCTAGTGCTTCCTGCAGGAATATCATGTTCTTTGATGCCTGTTCTCCAGGGCTCTCTTTACTTTTGATCCACACTATGGAGGGATCTTTCATGAGGGAATGTCTTACTCTCAGAAAACAAGTTTGTAGGAGAAGGCATAGCTAGTAACCATCATTTGGTTAAAAAGAAGGGTCATTTAATATTAATAAAGATAAGAGGTAGCATTTATTAATTCAATCAGGATTTAGTTTTGAATGTTCCAAATACAGTGCTAAGTGCTTGGAGAAAGACATAGTTCTTCATTGTTTGAGTTGCATTCCAGTTCAGCTGCCAATAACAGACCAAGTAGTTATAAAGACTTAATCAAATGTGGGATTAGTCGTCTTATATAACAAGAAGTGCAGGGTTGGCAGTCTGGGGCTGGCTTGGTGGATCTGCAATGCTCTCACAAACCCAGGTCCTCCAGCTTTCCTGGCAACCATATTTACCATTAGCTTTCATTCTCATGCTTCTGAAATCTTAGTGATAAGATGGCTGCTTCAGCTCCTGCATTATATCCACCTCCCAGTTATGGCAAAAGCCTAAGTGTGCTTGACAAGTGAATCTTTCTACTCTTAAAAAGCTTTCCTGTAAGCACTATCCAATGACTTTCATTATATGTGTATGTATAATGACCAGAAACTTGTCACATGCCACCTACAGCAACAATAAATGCTAGGAAAGCTGAGCATGTCACAAAATACAAAATCAGGCCTCTAAATGTAAATGAAACAGAGAATGCCATTCTCTGTTCTGGAACCAGTAGCCTGCCACTCTCATTAGAAAACATCATCTTATAGTCCTGTGGCAATGCTAGGTAACAAAGAGGGTTCACAGTGCTGTTATAGCTGTGGAGAGATAAGAAACCTAATAATTAAGAACAAATAAAAATGGAAAGGCACAAAGACTTTCTAGGGCAGGAACACTGTTTTCTGTTTAGAAGCCAGAAGAGAAAGACTGCAGGGTTTCATAAGGTGGGAATCTGAGGCAGTAAAAGGGGTGGCCAAAGAGAAGTTTACATTGTCACACCACCGTGATCTTTATTTTGAACTCTGGAGATATGGGAAGGACCGAGCTTAGAAAAAAAATTCAAGTTGGTAATTGTATTAATGTTGAAAGAGACTTAAAGAGAGAGCCAAGGTGACACAAGTGCATTTATTAAAAAATATCGATTAAGTATTTACCTTAGGATGCGGAGGTACACAGCTATGAGAAAGACCCACTTTGAGCCCTCAAGTTTTCTTTATCATGGAAGAGACTCTCAAGAATTCAAGGCAGAATGATCCAAATATTACAATTAAAATACATAAAAGTGTTTGCAAGTATAGAAGCAGGAGGGATTAGTTTGGACTCAGAGTGTGAAGGAAGATCAGGAAAGGCTTGCAGGTTAAAGTGTCATAGGATCTGAGCCCTGAAAGATGATAGAAAAAGTGGGAAAAATGTATCTTGGGCTGAAAGAACTAATGAGCAAAGGCACTGAGGCATGAAAGTGATTTTACTTGGCAAAATATATCTGTGGCATTTAATAGAATTTGATTTTCTTTTCAGGGATATGAACCCGTGTTTATTCACAAGATCAAGCACAAACATATCCTGGCGAAGAACTATTTTTCTCAAATTCCTATCCTGGCTTCATTTTTATTTGATGATGCTGAAATAGATGAGGTCAGAGAGAGACATCACCTAGAAACATCACCCAAGATTATAGACTCCCGGAGGCCTAGTCCTTAGAAGACCCAGGAATATTTGTTTGATGATCAGCATTTTTGTCCACTGCTAATAGAGTAATACAGAGGTCATACAATATGGAAATATAATTTGTTAAGTTGATTCTAATTGTTTTTCGTTGTATCATAAGTTGTATAGAGAAAACATCCCTGTATACATGCTTTATTGTTAGACAATTAATGTTAAATTGCAATATGATTTTGTTACTAAAATTAATATTTTAAAGTAAAGAGAACACTTTACATATTTTTACATTAAATTTTTTAAAAATTTCAGGTACATCATAATTAAAATGAATAGACAAAAGCTAGGCTTAACTTTCAACCCAATAAATTTATTTTAGATAATATGTAGTTATAGGAGAATGGTCAGTATATGGGTGGGAGGAAACATAGGATTACCTTTTTTGAAAATCTTTATAGGATAAAAGACAGTAGTTTTAATATAGAGATTTGAATTTTCACTTTTTATCTTCTACTTTCACCTTCCATCTTTCTCAAAATCCCAATAAAACAACTTTCACCTTCCATCTTTCTCAAAATCCCAATAAAACAACTGAAACTATTTTAAACAAACAAGTAAAAGATGCATTCCATGCTGGAAAACAGGGCAAACAGTTGGGACTATCTTTTGTCCTGTGGGAGAAAACTACTTGCAGGGCAACAATGAAAACTCTGTACAAAGAGTAAACTGGACCAAGGAACTGTAACCATCCCTTTCTCCAGTAAAACAAAGGACTAGCCTTGGCCGCATGCATGCCAAGGACCTGCAGTGATGATCAGGGGTTTGAGTCAGTCTTAACAGGAAATAGATGGCACACTCAAAATTCAAGGAGCGTTTATTTACAAAGTGTGGGCACAGGATAGGAAAACTAAAGGAACAGAGCAGGAACCCAGGCCAGTATCAGATAAGGTGTCTCTATTCCTTGTCCAAGTGGACCTGGGGAGGCAGAGTTCTGGAAACCCAGAAAGAGACCTTAAGATAACTGAGAGGATCAGTGACCAAATTTCAAGGGAAGAGCCAAACCCAGGTTATCTCGTGAATTAGAGAAATAAATACTCTGATCTCACACTTCCCCCTTCCGCCAGTTTCCTGCTTGAGTTTCCCATTGGCAGAACACACCCCCTCTCCCCCCCAAAAAAAGAAAGCAGAAGAAATAGAAGCCTATTGACATACTTTATACAGCTTCAGGACAAACAGCAGAGTAGATAATGCGGAGAGTGGATTTGGACGGCTAAATAGAAGAGATGGAGCTAGAGAGAAAAATAAAAAGTGAAGATCTTTAATTCAAGTAGCAATATTTCACATAAATGCAACATAATTATATATGTGTGTATTTAAGGTCAACAGCAAGGAAGTACATGTAAGAGAAAAACAAGATTAAAAATATCACAGTGCATAAATTTAAATCGGTTAAAATCCTCTAGTAAAGGATAGTTATTCTCATATGATATCAAAAGACTGAAATATGTGCTGTGTACCAGATATCTACCCCAAATAAAATGACATAGAAAGGTTAAAAAATTAGCAGTCCTATGCAAACTGACAACAAAAAATGGTGGCAATATTATCAAGGATGAAATTGGGAAGAAAAATAGAGCAAAGGGAGTTACTTATCTTGATAAATTATAATTCACAATAAAAATGAATAATTAATTTCCATGTTAGGTATAAAAGCAGGTGTAGAAAAGTCAGTTGAGAATTCTTCATAGGCTTCTCATGTTTCTGCATTTATTTTTATTTTTATTTTTTAGCAGAGGCACTAGATCTTGTTTGAGACTCATTTTCAAGGGTGTTTGTATAGCAAGCAGTCTTGGGAGATAGTGTTTAATGTTCACTATAAAAGATTCAGAGTCTCTAAGCCCAGGATTCCTATCCTGTAATGCAACTCACTGTTTGTGCATCTGTGACCTGGACTTTGTGTCACCCTGAAGAAATTAGGATAAAATGCAGATATCCTGGGTTATGACAGTTCTGTGGACAATAAATTGTGCTTTATCTCTGACCCAGGAGTCTCATGTCTTCTGTCATCTATGAAATTGTAGCAGGCTAGCTCCTTAGCTTGCAATTAGGATAGCGTCCCAGACCCTTCACAGTTCTCAACACAGATAACCTCAGGTTAGATAACCTCAGAAGAGGAGTTAAGAGGTAGAAAATGCTGTTTCTCTTCTCTTTCCAGGAGCCCTGTGTGCTTCATTGCAATTCTCCACCCTCTTAAAGTGAGGCAAAATTATGTAACATGCTTTGTCTACCTTAATGCAAGTCAAATTGTGTCATTTTGGAGCATTGAAGTAATAATTCCATTTCTATAGATATTCTTCTAAGGAATAGAAACAAAGTGAATACCCTCCAACTCATGGGCCCAGCATATCCTTGATGTCAAAAGATTACAATGATAGTACGAGAAAGAAAATGGTAGGCCATTTTAACAATGAATATAGATGCAAAACCCCTTAATAAATATTAGCAAACAAATAAAAATATATTGAAATGTAAAACAGATGGCTTTTGCTGGAAATTCTTTATTTTCCTCTTTAGATCTGCCTTCTAACTTCCCCCTCTCTGCTTTGTGCCCCTGGAGGCTGACCTCTGTGCACTGCATCAACGAGTGTGTGATGCCCTCCAGCTGCATCGGTCAGTGGGAAACAGCAGGGAACTTGAGGTCTGAAAGAAAGGCAAAAATTGCGGTATTTATTCCCTTGGCTTCTCCCATCTGATGTTTGGTCTGTTGTTAGTGACGCATTCATCTGCCTCAGACCACATCTCTGGGTGTATGGTCATCCCACACACTCTCAAACACTGAATTCTGGAACTCATTCCTTCTCTTTACTTCTTCAGCTTCTGGGTGGCAATGCCTCTCTTTTGTAGCTAAGTATAAGGTGATTCACTTTTTTAAAATTTTAATTTCCTTCAACAGTGACCTCTCCTTGTAAACAATCCGTTTACTAAATACTTCTCAACTTAACTAGTTTGTGTCACCAGTTTCCTGCTTCCCCCTGGACCCACCAAATGGACTTTAAAATGGAATCCTGGCTTGAGCTGCTCACATATTTGAAGTGCATGTAAATAACCTCCTTATCAGGGGGACATGGGACACTGATAGTATGCAGCATGTGGCAGGATCGTGGTAACTCAAAATATCCTGAGTAATGGGGTGCACATGGAGGATAAGCATTGGGGATCATGTGGCTGAGCCAGTCAGTCACTCTGATGCCAAAGACTGTGGCACAGGATGGCATTTCTTACCCTAGAAAGGGTTCATAAAGGAAAGTATAAATTGAAAGCCCTGAATGGTCAAGACAAGGCCCAGACAGAAACTTAGAAAGTATACATGCAGGACAGATGTGACTGAGGATTAAGTCTGGAGCCTGATTTGGAAGTAAATGATGTAACCAGAGATAGGTACGAATAGACATGAGTTGGGAGAATGGGTGAGAAAGTCTATTTGTATGAGGGATAATTTACCTTGTTAGGTGGAAACATAGGAAGTCCAAATGTGGAGCGATGGTTGCACAGAGAAGCTGAGCATAGAGAAGGCCAGCTCTGCCCAATCTTGGTGTATTGCCTCTCAGTTTTAAATCCTCAGCTTCAAATCCTTCTTTGCCTTACTCGTGATACCAAATCTGGACTCTATACATATTTCTCCTTTGCCAGCTGGCACCATGTCAGTATTTTTAGCGGAGGTAACTGGAGACATGATGAAGCGAGGGACTTAGTTTCCTGGTTCCTGGGTGCTTTTTCATGCTTGTTCCTACAGCATGTAGTAGGGAGCAGTGAGCAGAACACCCAGTGGTACTTACCCTCCAGCGAGTTTTGCCGGAACCTCTATGGGTGGCTGGAACACCCAGTGAATATTGTCAAAACCCAAGGGAGTGGCTTCCCAGCGAATCTTGCCTGAAACTTGGTGGGCAACCTCCCGCTTGCCAAACCAGGCTTGCAGCACCATAGCAAACTTCTTTGCCACGCCTACACCCTCTTCAACAAAGTCTGAATCTCAGCCTTGGCTGGAACATTCATCCACATTTGTTTCTCCCTTGGGTGATCTGCCTCCACCCCAGAGGCAGTGACTGCTCCTTATACCTGCTATTCCTGCATTCTTCATACAGTTCTCTCAGTAGTAATGTCTTGTTATCAGACAAGAATTCTTTACATTAAATTTTCCCTGTTCAAATAACAGTGTTGTTTTTGTCTCCTGACTGGACCTTGACGGATACAGCAGGGAATGTTCAGATTCCCTCTCTAAAGTAGGACACTATTAGTTCACGTTGTATTTAACGCACCATAAAGAGACACAATGCTGAATGGGCTTTTGAGATTCTGGAAGCAACATAGCCCACATCTGCGTATGCTTCCCTGACCCATTAATTGAGTAACTATTAAGCTGCCGGTTTTTAGTGAAACAATGGTACTTTTTCCAGTTGGGCCACATGACTCAGCAGGCCCAATAGTGTTGGGAATGTCTGTAGAAGAGAGAGATGTTGTATGGAGCCTCTAACACATTCCATTAGAGAATAACACTGCGGATGCTTTGGGTATTGGAGTAAAGTCTTGCTCTTTAATACCACCAAATGTTCTTCTGATCATCTAACAGAAATCGAACACCTACTAAGGACTCACCAAATGACCATGTTACTAAAAGTGCTCAAAATGTGTGTGTGTGTGATCAGAGCTACCCAGTCATAAAGTTGACCATACACAGACAGCATCCTTCCACTGGAAAGTGGGAGTGGTATATACAAAATGTCCTAGCAGGTCTGGAAGTTACAAGTAAACCAAATGAGTTAGATAGTTCAGAATCCCATGGTATATTCTCCTCTTGCTTTTCCACTTACCCATCAATAAACATGTGGCCTTATGAGGAGTTCCCGATGATCACTTAAATGGAAAAAAGAAATCAACTGATTTACAGAAGGATCCACACACCATGCTGTCAATAGATGGCCTGGTTTTAAGAAGGGCCTGCACATATGCTGGCCATGCTATTGCAGCTCCACTTGGGGTGGCCATGGAAGACACTGATAATTCTCTGAGGGAAGAATTTCAGGTGGTGCATATGGTCATCCACTTTTTGTGGAATGGGACATGGCTGGTGGTATAGATCTAAAGGGATCCATGAGCAGTGGCTAGAAGGTTGATCAACTGGAAAGACGCAAAGAAAGTTTAATATTAGAGAATTGGTGATGAGTTGGGGGAGATATATGTGGATAGGCATGTCTTACGTAAGTGTACTCCAGATGGCATCCACTGCGCAGGATGCTATCAGTAACCAAGTGGACAAGGTCGTTCCTCCCGGGTATTAGCCAGCATCTTTCACTAGCCTTTCTGGTGCTTACTCAGTGGGCTCATTCACAGGGTCTCTTCCACAGTATGGATGGACCTTATCTATGCACTTAACAGGGATATTTCCTCACCAAGGCTGATTTGGCTACCACCACATCTGGGTGTCAAATTTTCCAACAGCAAAGGACAATACAGAGCCATAAGATACTAATATTCCCCAGGGAAGTGAGCTGGCCACCTGGTGGCTGTTTGACTCTATTGAATCCCTTTAATCTTTGAGAGAGCATTAATTTATTCTCAATAATGTAGATATTTAAGATGTATGTGGATTTGACATTCTTGCTTACAGTATTTCCGTCCACACAATCATTCATGGACCTACAGAAAGCCGTATTCACTATGGTCTCACAAACTGCATTACCTTCCACCGAGGAACCCCCTTGACATAGGAGGAAGTGGACAATTGCTTCATCTCACAGAATTTACTCGTCTTACTATGTCCCTGTTGCCTAGAAATATCTGGTTTCATAAAACTTCGCAGGGTCAGTTATGGCACCATCTGGGTGACATCCTGAGAGGTTAGAGTGCTGTCCTGCTGGATGCAGTATATGCCTAAAGTCACTGGCCAATATGTGGACCTGCCCCCCTCACAGCCAGAACGCACAGGTTGGAAACAGTGGGTAGAGCTGGCTAGTGGGTGTTGCTGTCATTCCTGTCTTAATGCACAGAACAGGGAACAATGTGATAAAGCTGAGTGTGACTCCTTCATTATTGTACCACATAACCTACTTAAAAATGGTTACTTTTCATCCCTCAACCTTGGCCTCAGTGGATCTGTAGGTCTTAATTTACCAGGGAGGAATTCCTGCAGGGGGCATAGTAGTATTTCCACTGCTGAGATTCACAAAGCAATTCTTTAGAGAGTTCAAATGTTTAAGTAAGTGTCTCTTCCTAAGTGAACAGGTTATAATTTATTTTCTACAGGTTGAGGCAGAACATCTTTAACACATTTTTTGTTTGTTTTAAGATTATTTTATTCTCATCAGATCTCACACAGAAGAGCCCCTGGCAACTCCAAATGCTAGTCCAGGTAGTATGCTATGGTCCCCTAGTAGATACAATACACTATATTGCTTTATGGGAATAATGAATGTGTCATTCCATAATGGGCATTATAAAACATCATTTTGGACTCTAAAATATATCAATGTATTTTGTAGAACAGTAACATATACCTAAAAGTAAGACTTTCAGAGGGAGAACTGTAAAAGTTCATTTGAAAAATTAATGGACTGTATGCTCTTGGCTTGAGTAACTTGTGTGTTCTGTTATAATGGATTCCAGAGATTTTCAATGGTGTGCTGCGGCAGGCACACAGGTGTGCCACAAGAATTTTTAAAACATGCAATAACTGACTGTTTAGCCAGGGTCACTGACCTCTTTCCCCTTAGGATGTCAAATAAAAAAAAAAGAAACAACCAATAGCCATCTGATGTAAATGAATCAAAATTATACCTTTTTTTTTTTTTTTTTGGTCAGATTGGCAAAAAACATACTACATTTTTTGGTGTGCCACAGCATTTTAGTAATTAGTTTATGTGTGCCATGAGATGAAAAAGGTTGAAAATCGCTGATATAGACTATAGATATCTGTTATATCCAGTTGATGGATAGTGGTGTTGAGTTTAACTATGTCCTTACTGATTTTGTGCCTGCTGGATCTGT